TGAGCTCTAACAGCCCGAGAATACGCCTTCCCCGAAGAAATGTGCTGGACTGTGTTTTTGGCGTACACGGTAGCCCACAGATCTTCAACGCCACTGCCGGACATCACATTGCCCACCGAGCCCATGAACGACATGAGGAGATGGAAACCACCAAGACGAACGATAACTTTTCTCAATGGGCTGTTCTGAGGTGAAGCCGAAACCATTTCTGCAGCTTTCCAGAAAAGTGGTTGATCAAAGGTCACCGGACAAAACTTCTGGTGGTGTATTCTAGCTTGTTCAGCAGCAAAGTGGAGGCAAGTGGAAATGGTTGACGGATCTGAAGGATTTAGGTTCACAAAGGGAAGAGGTAGAGTAGCTGTTAAAGCGTACGAACTGGTGCCCTCCATGGTGGAACTCATAAAGCCATTCCACCCTGGAATAATTCTTGGCATCGCCGTGTTCCCGACCAGCCACAACAGGTCGAACTGGCGTGCCCTGGACAGACTGGCAGCCTCCCTCGTTGAGATGGCACCTGCAGCTGGGCGCTGGTCAATCACAGTAATGCTGCTTAAGCCGGTTCGGTGTGGTTTACTGTAAGGTTCCAAGGGAATCACGCCAAACTGCGACTGTGGGATTTTTCTCATTTCTGGAGTGAGACGAGGAAGAGATCCTTGAGGCGGCACACCTGTTTTGGGGGTAACATAAATCATCCCTCCCATGCTGTGTGTTGTGCCGTGGCCGTCGATCGTCGCCGAATTGAAATCAAAGTTGTCGAATGCAAACTGGATGTAGGAATCTGCATCAAACTCAAGTGTGGAGTGGAGAACCGCCGACTTCTCGTACTCCTGGATTAGAGAGTAAGGCACACTGCTGCCCATATTATGTAAAATGTCACAGAGTGTCCTGCTGCCTATTTTTCGATGGACCCACACTCCAAGCTCGAGCATAATAGGGGATATGAATGATCTCGGCCTGGAGGCTGAAATGATAGAGTGTCCCAGTACTTCGCAGATTCTAACCGTCCTTTGAATGCCTTGGCCTTTCTTCCTTGGTAATGTTACCCCCTGGAGCAAAGCAGTGAGAGAGGCAGGCACAAATGCAGGGCCACTACCATCAACAGCAGGAAACTGTTCAGGGTCTTGCCACATAGCTGAAATGTCCGAGTAAATTATTTCGGCAGCCTTCTCCACAATCCTTCGGCGTTCATCTTGCTCACTTTTTGCACGATTCGCGTACCAAGCTTCTCCAACGGCATCAAAATGTTTGCCAAGGAAACATAGTATGGAAGACTTCCCCGGTCTCTCGACAACTATCACTCTCTTATTGTACTTATCTTTGAGAAGTCTTGCCAAGTGCTTCTCTGAGTACGTCTCTGTGTCCATGCCCGTGCTTGGCATCATCGCGGCGAGGTCACTCATGGTGAACTGGGGCTCGTCCGCGGACTCCAGCTTCTCGCAGAGAGCATCAAAAGCGGACATTTTTTTCTCATCGAGGGGACGGCCTGGACGCCCTCTGCCTCTTCCATGAGCAAACTACGACAAAATAAATAACTCGAATAATTAATACGGTGGGATATTAATTATAGTTTGACGCTACGTCGGTGATTACGCTGTTGCGCTGAATAGCGTACCTTTGGTACTGGAATGCGGGAAGGAGTGCCTTCAGCTGGGGATGTTGCTGGGCGCTTTGCAGTTGGCTTCGCAGGAGTCTTGAAACCGCCAGGGGGACTCAGGAAGGATGCAGGAGGAGAGAGGAAAGGAGGGGTTGGGGACAGCATTGGCTCTGATCTGAGAGTCAATGAAATTGTCAGAAATGGGCCGATATTCAGAAATACCCCATAAGTTTATCAGCCACACCTGGCAGGGTCCAACAAGGCAGCAAAACATGCACGGTGGTAGCATGCACCCTCCTTGACGAGGCTCGCAGTGCCGCGCACTCGGATGGCTGCCCTCAGCACCCACTCCTCCGTGCGCCCCTCGCACGCACTCAGCACCGTGTCCCGCACTGAGTCTGCAGCCACCGTACTAACACCGCGATCAGCGCGCGGAGGGCCGTCTTTGAAAACAACACAGAACAGGGTTGTCGCAAAACAGACACTATCTTATAGGTTTCTATTTTGGTATTGAAAGGTTACCTGGCCTCATCAGCGGGACTTCCCTCGCGCACAAAAAGCAGGCGCCTCTAAAATTGAAGTTTTGTACCGTTGTTGATCGGAGAAGAGGTGGCCGACTAGGAGATGCATTTACGAATACATTTTCATCCGGTTTAATTCGTCTTGTGTAGTCCTTTCGACATTTTGAGTGCAAATTCAGGGAAGTGACATTCTTCAACTTTTCATGTAATTTATCGCCTCGCTGCACACTATACTTCAGCAAAGACGCGATTCCTTTTGATGCGCATGTTACCTTGTCACCTCCACTGAAATCTCGCCCACAAATTGCACAAAAATCACCCATTAAAAATGAAAGACCGGGTGCCAAAACAAAATACGCGCCGTTGCCTGGCCGACCAGCTCCCAGTTTCTTCGGCTCCCTTATTCGCACGTTCGGTACAGTCAAATCTAACAATAGACAGTACGCGAATCGCAATAAGGATATGTATACAGCCCAGTAGGAAAAATAATACGGACGGCCTTTCAGACTATTGTTGCAGGGCGGTGAGCGCGGCCCGAACAATAACCGAACTCAGCGCACGAGCGATGACGGCAGGAGGGCAGCGCGCACAAACGCGGCCAGCGTCTCAAGTCTCGGGTTATAAGTCGACCATGTACTCCAAAAAACGCGCAATATAATAATATAGTAATAATAACATTGAAACATTTCCACTCCGAGAAAACTCAGGCAAAAATCGCGTTTCATTTCCCTTTTTTTTTGTTTTTAACAATTTTGGACATGTCCAATTGTTCAAATTGTTCAATTTTGGGCTTTGAACTTAAAGCCCATTGTCTTGCGACAATTTTGAGCTACTGTACATTTTTGTAAGTCGCACCGTTTAGGCGTGAGGGCGAGGCAAAGGCGACCTTGCAGCGCGTAGCAGCCGGCTCCAGCCGTCTCTCCCGGCCCCGGGGCGGCAGCGCAGCCCGCCCGCGCCGCAGTCACCGGGCCATAGCTCCGTCAATTTTGGTCGCAGAAACTCCGTTCACAGCTCATTTTGTTTGTCAGATTTGTGCCTTCAACGTTACGTAATAGTGTTTTATGCGATTTCCAACTGGTTTGGCCGCAAATAAATCTCAAAGTCCATGAAAGAATTTCGAACAGTGGAAAAAATGACTTTAACGCAAATTTGAACATGTTCAAATGTTCAAAAGTGTCAATGTTATTATTGCATCTTGTAGCCTGTTCCTTGGCGAACATTTTGAGCACCCACCCAGGTATGTAGGTCAAACGGTTCAGCCGTGGGAGCAGAAAAACCGAAAAGTCGCAAATGTTCAAAATTTTGAACTTTGAACACGATTTGAGCCGATCTGCACGATGGGATTTTTTGGGACTTTTGGCTAGGCTTTCGTTAGGGGTCCATAAAACTGTCCCCAAAATTTGGTACTGTTCGGAATTTTGTCCGGGTCAAAACACAATATGACTGGACTAATTCTGATAAGAAGGGAATGCAATAAATCAATAACTTCTAAATCTAAAATCTATCTTTCCAAAAATTCCTTCACAAGATAAATTAAAAAAAAAAAAGGAGGGGGAAAAGGTGCAATAAGGTTTCAAATTCTAACTCAGCAGAATAGTAACTTGTATTTTTTCCACAAACCAAAAAAAAAAAAAGGGAGGGAGTAAATGGTTCAGATCCTAGACTCAGGGCAAAACACGCACTCTTACCAACACCACTGTGTTGCTTCTCTCTCACGAGCACAGCTTAGCTATGGGCAGCGAAACTGACCAAGGCTACTTAAAGCAGCTCCCCCGCAACACCACAGTGTTGTCACAAGAGACTCCTTTCTCTCTGAAAAGACCCCTTTTCTTTTAAATGGTCAGGGTCGTGAACTTGTCACAGGCAGTATGACTGACCAAAGAGGGAAAGCAGAGTAAATCACTCAGTTACGGGTTGTGAAAGACTAGTGAGTAAATTTGCATGGGCTGACTAAACCAGTCCAGGGCACGGAGCTAAGGCTAACCACTACGAGACCAGTTGTTCAGGAGGATGAAAGAGCGGGGCCCAGTCAGCGACAACACAGCAGCAACCACGCCACGGAACTGGCCAAAAGTTAAGTAGCGGCAGTTACTGACTAAATCTTGTTGTGACTAAGAGAAAGGATTTACTGCATTCAAGTGGGAAACTAAATCAATTAAAATTTAATTGGGCTAGACAAAGAAACTGTTCTCAAAAAAAAATGATGATAGGGGAAAAGCTAATGAGAGGTTAAAAAAAAGAAAAAAAAACTGGTCTTGTCAGGAGTTACTACGGAAGTGGAAATTTGTTTCAGCTTTTACTTCCCCGAAGCTGCTCAGAGACAGCAGCCCTGAAGCCCGTCGCCTCCCTCAAACCAGACTTCAGGAACGCAGTCATCTAGTTCGAGAAGGAGTAGCCCGAGACCGCCTGAGATGGGCAACACGACCCAGCATGAAGGAAGATCACCTTTGTCACTGCGAGGCACTTAGTAGGGTTGGGTCTAGGACAAGTGCAGTTTTGCTGGAAAAGAGTTGGGCTTGTCAGCTGACTGCCAGCCCAACCAGAGCATTTGCCTGCCTGTCCATAACCTCAAAGCCCTGGTTCCGACGTTGGTTTTAGTGGGGTTTTCCCAACGTCCTTGACGCTCCGAAGGAGGGGAACCACTCTCCTTCACACCAACCTCCATTTCTGCATCCCCTATGCGAAAGGCTCTCGGAGAGAGGGGAGGGTAGTGTTGTGAAGTGAGGTTTGTTGGCATTCATTGCAAACTTCAGCACTCTAGCAGACAACCGAGTTGTCTGCTGTGTTGACGCGCTGCCCCCCACCACACGGCCCACGGCACGGCCGGTGTGAGCG